CTTTAGTGGATCCGCCATCTCATTGGAGAGGATAGGCGAATTGAATGTGTTTGTCGTGATGTGAACGACATTAGTGGCCATCTCATTAGAAAAGATAGGCGAATTGAATCCCAACAGAGGCTTTCGCCAGAGCGGGTAAAGGAGGAACAGTCTAGCCTCGTGTACCAGTTAGAGGGTGTGAGGGCCAGTTTAAACTCTTGCACTCGTGGGAGTTGGTGAAGGAGAACTTATGGGTAGTACTTCTTCAGATACTTGCCGTTGATGGGCATCATGATCTTATCACCATTCGGCTTGACGAGGCGATAGGCGCCGTTCGAGTAGACTGTCTCTATCATGAACGGTCCTTCCCATTTGGACTGGAATTTCCCCTTCTTCTTGGAAGTGAGGATCATTGGTCGACGGACGGAGAGCACGAGCTCCCCCTCTTTGAAGGCTCGGCGCTTGACTTTCTTGTCGAAGCTCTTGGCCATCCGAGCTTGATAAAACTCAATGTGCTGCTGAGCTTCCAGTCGCTTGTCGTCCAATGCTTCGAGCTCTGCGAGTCGAAGTTGGTGATTCTCCTCAGTCGTCATCCCCGTCGCTAGGGCAACGCGGAGGGATGGAATCTGAATCTCTAATGGCAATACAGCTTCACAGCCGTATACCAACGAGTAGGGCGTGGTGCCAGTCGGTGTGCGAACCGTCGTGCGATAGGCCCACAGGCTCTCGCCTAGTTTTTCATTCCAGTCGCGCTTGCTGATGGAAGTCAACTTGGTCAAGATCTTGATGATCATTTTGTTGAAAACTTCGGCCAAACCATTCGCTGAAGGGTTGTAGGCCGTGGAAGAGAGGTTCTGTATTCGGAACTTATCGCAGAACCTGGTGAAGGCATGGCTAACAAATTGCGCGCCATTGTTATGAGTGATACGCCGGGGTACGCCGTATCGGTATATGACATGGTGCTTGATGAATTTGATCACGTCGCTGGTCTTAACTTCTCTTAAAGGGATAGCTTCGGCCCATTTAGAGAAGTAATCAGTGATCGCGAGGATGAAGCGATGGTTTTGGATAGCGAACACCAAGGCTAGGCATTCCTTCTCGACCATTGGGTACCGTTGCTCGGCGCCCTGCGAGGTTCTGCTCAAAACGATGATGCAGGCCATGAGCAGGGCATCTACTGTGGTCGCCATCTTCTGTAGGGTGAAAACTTGATTTCCCGAAAACAGGGAGTGTTTGTTTGTATTACTTTCGCCGATGGTGGAGAAATTGGCCCCACTATGTCCATCCCCCATGCCTCGAAGGGCCAAGACGCCCTAGTCGGATGCAGATCCTCAGGAGGCTGGTGTATGTAGTTGGCGTGGATTTGGTATTCGTAACATCACTTTGCATAAGCGACTGCGTCGGTAACCATCCCAGGCCAGAAGTAGCCCATCCTCCGTAGGCGATCCCAAAGTTTGGGTCCGAGCTGATGAGCTCCGCACACGCCGTCATGTGCTTCGCGTACGGCTTCTTGCGCCTTCGCTTTTGAAAGACAGCGAAGCAGCAAGCCGTCGTATGACCTCCGATACAACGTTTTAGTGGTTGAATCGTAGTAGAACCGCGAGGCACGTCGTTGGACAGACTCTCGTTCCTTCGCGTCTTCGGGCAGCATGCCGTATAGGACATAATCGATGATCGGGAGACGCCAGTCTTCCTGATCTGGCTGCTCCGAGGTTTGATGGGTGGCGTTCGCCTCTGGGACGTCTCTGAGTCAAAAAAGTTTTCGGCTGGCGACTGTGACCCTTTGGGTCGTTCCCAAAGGCTGGGCCAAATTGGTCGCCAAAGATGCGAGGGCATCCGCATGGGTGTTCTTTGAACGGAGCACGTGCTCAATATGGAAGCTCTCGAATAATTCCACTAGTCTGACGGCCGCTTTGTGGAGTGGGATAAGATCGTCATTCCTGACTTCATATTCGCCAGTCATTTGCTTGACGATGAGTTGGGAATCGCCGTAAGCCTCCAGATGTTTGATCCCGAGATCTTTGGCTAACTCGAGCCCTATGAGCAACGCGTTGTACTCAGCTACATTGTTGGTACATGGTTCCGTCAAGGAGAAGGCCCAGGGTAACACGTGACCGTGCGGAGAGGTGAGGACCACCCCCACTCCTGCAGAAATAGAGCCGCTCGCGCCTGCGCGGGACGCACCGTCGAAGAACATCTGCCACACCTCTGGCGACGAAGTCATATTGGCTTCGGGAGGTTCATCTGGCAGATCTTCGAATAGATCGGTCTCCCCCCCCAGCGGGTGACTAGCCATGAGATCGCAAATGGCCTGTCCCTTAACTGATTTCTGCGGCATGAAGTGGATGTCGTATTGAGAGAGCAGAAGCGCCCATCTGGCCAGGCGCCAGTTTAACGCTGCAGGTTGTGTCATGAAGATCCGAATGGGATTCATTCAGGAGATGACGTGGATGGTTTGGCCAACCAAGTAGTGCCGCATCTTTTGGATAGCGAACACCAAGGCTAGGCATTCCTTCTCGACCATTGGGTACCGTTGCTCGCTTCCCTTGGACCGTTTGAATGAGGTTGCTGGAGAGCTTCAGTTCGCAGTAGAAGCTCAACTCGAGGGAGTTCGGGTCTGCTTAGTTCGCTGGCGATCGGAGCTCGGAACTAAACAGTGATGCTGCAATGCAAAGGTTATGCAGAGAGCTTGGTCTCAACTCTTTTCTCTAAGTTTTGCGACCTCTCTTCCAATGTGCTGGAAGGGGCTTTTAAATGAAAGAGGGACAGCTTGACTCATCCTTGAATTATGGGATGTGACCATATCTTCTTCAGAGACGTCTAGCTGCTCCTCGATACCATGAATGGTCATTCGAGGGATTGTGCTTTATGTCCTGTCACCTAAAATGGGAAGGCCCATCCTTGTATATGAGGCAATGGCCGTCTGCTATCCGAGTGGACTTGACCAGCATTAATGAACCGCATTTATGAGTTCGCAGATCGATGAAGTGTCTGTCCGATCACTTGTACTGTGCGTGACCGCCCGGCGTGCTTTGAGCACGGTGCTTTCTCCTTTCCGGTCAGGAGAGGCGGCGAAGTAGGTGCACAGTACTCGAGTGGGTCTAGCCAACTTGCCGAGTGTCGGCGGATCCAGCTCTTGACTCAGACAGCCGAGGTGAGTCGCATTTATGAATGCTCAGGTTGACTCGACACCTGTCCAGACCTTCGTGCTGTGCGTACTGTAAGTGGCCGTTTTGACGGTCTTGGGGTACCGTGCTCTCTCCCTGAGAGGGATGGGAAGGTCCATCTCCGCACGTGGGGCAGCGGATACTCAGTTGTACTGTCGGTCTTGGGGTTTGCTGGCGGATTCGACTCTGGACTCGGGCAGGCGAGTTGAGTGAAAGGCGGACTTCCGCCATCCTGATCGATCTTAACTCGTGCTGGCGAGCCGACCGTAAGGCGAACCTAGAACTGAGCATATCTGACGTCTATGCGATTTAGGCCCGTGCCAGAGAACTGAGCGTGCGAGCTCTTCTCGCAGGCGAATTTCCTGTTAGTCTATAGAGGTATTTTTTACCGTCTACAGACCTGCATATTGAAGTCCTTTGAGCATGTTGGTATGAGCAAGGAGAC